AACATCAGCTTGTTTGAGCAACAAACAGAACATGTTAGCAGTTAAAGGCACATGATAGCAGCTAACATTAGCACATGTTAGCAGCAAACATTAGCGCATGTTAGCAGAAAACATTAGAGCATGTCAGTAGCTAACATTACAGCATGTTAGTTGCAAAGATTAGCGCATTTATCAGCGAACATCAGCTTGTTTGAGCAACAAACAGAACATGTTAGCAGTTAAAGGCGCATGATAGCAGCTAACATTAGCGCATGTTAGTAGCTAACATTACAGCATGTTAGTTGCAAACATTAGTGCATTTATCAGCTAACATCAGCTTGTTTGAGCAACAAACAGAACATGCTAGCAGTTAAAGGCGCATGTTAGCAGCAAACATTAGCGCATGTTAGCAGAAAACATTAGAGCATGTTAGTAGCTAACATTACAGCATGTTAGTTGCAAAGATTAGCGCATTTATCAGCGAACATCAGCTTGTTTGAGCAACAAACAGAACATGTTAGCAGTTAAAGGCGCATGTTAGCAGCTAACATTAGCGCATGTTAGTAGCTAACATTAGCGCATGTTAGCAGAAAAAATTATCGCATGTTAGTAGCAAACATTACAGCATGTTAGTTGCAAAGATTAGCGCATTTATCAGCTAACATTACAGCATGTTAGCAGCAAACATTAGCGCATTTATCAGCTAACATCAGCTTGTTTGAGCAACAAACAGAACATGTTAGCAGTTAAAGGTGCATGTTAGCAGCTAACATTAGCGCATGTTAGTAGAAAACATTAGAGCATGTTAGTTGCAAACATTAGCAAACACCAGGAGGTCAGTCAGAGCTAACCCCCCCGACCCCGACAGGGGCCAGGACACATTTATACACATCAAAACTTACTTCCTCAGCTCTGTGCAGTCGTCCTGGGATCCTCTGTGAGCCGCGGCGGGAGGCACATTCTGCTGGAGCTTAGCGTATCTGGAGGGAAAAACGGTACTATTTTACTAGCAAACGGTACTATTTTACTAGCTTTACTAGCTTTATTAGCTATTTTCTCCATCCTGGTTCCCCCGTTAGGGTTAGGGTTAGGGTAAGCCAAAATCGGGCAACAACACGTCAAATCTTAACAGGAAAAATGTTGTTTAAGCGTTTTTAGAACTTAAAAAACAAACTTATTTAGAAAATGCTAGGGTTGTCACGATACTAAAATTTTCAACTGGATACCGATACTCAGGAAAATACTCGATACCATTTTCGATACCACAAGGATTAAAAAAAGACCCCAAAATTTAACTGAATTTTGACAGGTTAGTGTCTTTCATTTCAAACTGACCTGTTACTGATGATATCGTGACTGGTGGCCTGCATTAATAACCCTAACCCTATCCCTAACCCTAACCCTAACCCTCCACCCTTCATAATTGTGAGAAATAAATATTTTTTGGTTAAACTTGTTTGGACTTATTGTACAAACCTATCTAATATACACAATTTAACATAATAATATGTATAGAGTTTAATTAAGTGTTTGAAAGATTAATTTCACAATTTTTAAATGAATCTCTATATTGCCATGAGGCAATTAGGATTTTCTTGCCTGGAATCTTCCTATTGTTAATGTAACTATAATGGCCGACTTCGATGTGGGCGGAGTCGGACATTTACTTGATTAATGGTAGCACGTTATTATTAGCCATTAGCCGAAGCTAGCAGTTCAAGGCTAACAGCTTGTTAATGACCATAAACAACGTAAAAAAATACATAAATAAATCAGAGAAAAAGGGCGACGGCAGGTCTACGCGATAACTCTACTTTATTGCATTGTAAATTACCTTTATTTTTTATTCAATTCAATTCAATTTTATTTCTATAGCTCCACATCACAACAACAGTTATCTTTCCAAACAGAGCAGGTCAGACCTGCTCTGAAGTTAATTACAGAAACCCAACAATTCCCACCATGAGCAGCACTAGGCGACACAGGCAAGGAAAAACTTCCTTTAACAGGCAGAATGTTCGTTTTACCTTTGAAAGTATTCAGTTCTATTCTATGTTCAGAGGTTTTTAGGTTTTTGGAACCAATTCTAGGAACTACAGAGTATTCTGATAGAAGATTTAAACCAACATATGAATATTTTAACTGGAACCAGTTTTAACTGGAACCAGTTAATAATCATTTTATTATATTTTAATAACCTCACTTGTATTTTACCTTTATTTATTTTCTTGCATTGTAAATAAAGTATTCTATTCTATTGTATGTTCAGAGGTTTTTGGGCTGTGGAACCAATTCTAGGAATTACAGAGTATTCTGATGGAATATTTGAACCAACACACCAATATTTAACACGGGAAGTGGGTCCTGGACCCGGTTAGACTGGTAACATTAGCACATTAGCACATGTGCTAATTTTGTTTTGGCCAGTGGGTTAGGGTTAGGGTTAGGGTTAGGGTTAGGTACCTGTTGAGCAGCAGGTCCAGCACCTACTGTACTTCATTTTGATATTTTATTAAGTTCACTTGTATTTTACCTGTATTTATTTGGTTAACTTGTATTTATTTGTGGCTGTACCTGTTGAGCAGCAGGTCCAGCACCTGCTGCGTGGAGGCGAATGAGCGATAAGTGCAGAGGAAGATGGTGACGTAGGTGGAGTCCCGCCCCCTGGAGGCCGACACCATGTACTCCACCAGCCTCTCCAGGGACCCGGCCTTTATGGTCCGGACCCGGCAGGTCTCGTAGAGGCTCAGGCCCGAGTCCGGGTCCACGCCCAGCCAGCGCTGCCCCTTAGTGGCCGCCTGGTGCAGCTGCACCTTCCTCAGCGTGATGCTGAACACCGCGTCCCGCTCCGACTCCTCCCCGATCTCCTGCGTCGAGCTCTGGGGGAGAGGGAAGCTTTAGATACGGAAAAAACCTACACGAAATGTACGACTTTACCGACAAACGGAGGGAAATCCGGTCAAATATTCGACTTAAATCCGGTCAAATATTCGACTTAAATCCGGTCAAATATTCGACTCAAAGTCGAGCTCTGAGGGACAGAAACGTTTTAGATACAGAAAAACCTACACGAAATGTACGGATTTACCAAGAAACGGAGGGAAACCCAGTCAAATATTCGACTTAAATCCGGTCAAATATTCGACTCAACGTCGAGCTCTGAGAGACAGAGAAGTTTTAAACACAAAAAAACCTCCACGAAATGTACGAATTTAGCAACAAATGGAGGGAAACCCAGTCAAATATTCGACTCGACGTCGAGCTCTGAGGGACAGAAACGTTTTAGATACAGAAAAACCTCCACTAAATATACGAATCTACCGACAAACAAAGTGAAATCCGGTCAAATATTCGACTCGACGTCGAGCTCTGGGGGAGAGGGAAGGTTTAGATACAAAAAACCTCCAAAAACGACGCCTAAACGACTTTCACCAACAAACGAAGTCCGATCGGTGTTTTCCAGCCCACCGATTAAAATAATCCGTTCCTCTTTGCTGTGTTGTTCCCTAATATCCGGTCGGTCATTTTCCAGCACAGCCTTAAACATTAGCATTAGCATTAGCATCTCTAACCCACAGGTCTGTGTCCTAACTAGGGATGTCCTGATCCAGTTTTTTTCTCTTCCGATCCGACTCCAAACCCGGCCTATCAGAGCATTTATTAAAGTTTAAAGTTATTTATCTACTTACTTAGTTGTCAGAATCATGTTGAACAGGGATTTACTCTGATAACAACTTAATGGTTAGGACACAGACCTGTGGTTACAGATGCTAATGCTAATGCTCTGAAAACAACTTAATGGTTAGGACACAGACCTGTGGGTTACAGATGCTAATGCTAATGCTCTGATAACAACTTAATGGTTAGGACACAGACCTGTGGGTTACAGATGCTAATGCTAACGCTAATGCTCTGATAACAACTTAATGGTTAGGACACAGACCTGTGGGTTACAGATGCTAATGCTAATGCTAATGCTCTGATAACAACTTAATGGTTAGGACACAGACCTGTGGGTTACAGATGCTAATGCTAACGCTACATGAGTCTGACAACTAAGTAAGTAGATAAAGAACTTTAGACTTTAACACAGGCTCTGCTAGGCCAGGATTGGATTGGATTGAAAGTGTAAAAAAAAAAACTGGATCGGGACGTCCCTAGTCCAGACTCCAGATCCTTTTTATTTATTTTTATTTAATATGGAGCTAAAAAGACCAGAACAATGCCAAAAAAGCTAAATCAAAGCTAAAAATGACCAGAAAATACAACAAAAAAGCTAATATGGAGCTAAAAAGACCAGAACAACACCAAAAAAGCTAAATCAAAGCTAAAAATGACCAGAAAATACAACAAAAAAGCTAATATGGAGCAAAAAAGACCAGAACAATGGCAAAAAAGCTAAATCAAAGCTAAAAATGACCATAAAATACAACAAAAAAAAGCTAATATGGAGCAAAAAAGACCAGAACAACGCCAAAAAACCTAAAGCAAAGCTAAAAATGACAAAAAATACAACAAAAAAGCGCAAAAATAAGAGCTAAATAGCCCAGAACAACACTAAAAAAGCTAAAGCAAAGCTAAAAATGATCGGAAGATACAACAAAAAAAGCTAATATGGAGCTAAATAGACCAGGCTCCAGGTCTTGGGTGGAATTGGCTTTAGGGCCGATAAAAAAAGAAAGGATCTCTGATCTGTGAGGGTTAGGGTTAGGTTTTGAGGGGAACTAAACACGCGTGGCCTCTTTTCTCATAACGAATGTGAAACACAATCACATCGAAAATATAAGAGAACAACAAACAAAAAAATCCCCCGGTTTGAGTCTGGAATCCCCTGGAGGCCCAAACAGCCGAACAATGTCCCACAATGCCCCACTGACCCACATCCAGAAACAGCCGGCACTAGAAAGCCCCGGGGGGGTAAACGGGGGGGGGGGGCAAACATAATTTCAGAGGGTTAGCTAGGATCTGCTGGCTCTGGTTTTCTGTTTTTTTGCCTGAATCAGCTTTTATTTGGAATAAAACTGCAGTTTGAGCCTCTGACCAGATGGAATAAATCAGGAATCTGAGGGAAAATTACACGAATGAGACATCTAATGGAGAGACTTCTATTAGGAAAATGAACGTTTGGAAACGAGGACCAGAAGCTGAAACCTGCAGATTCTTCCACATGGACGTAAACAAGAGACACAAAAATAGAATAAAAGGCTAAAGGAATTTAGTTTAAATGATAAAAAACCAACGATAATGAGAAATTCATCAATCAACACAAAACTCTTTCCTTATAATCTTTTTATATCCTAATTTGGATGGTTTCACTGTATTTTCTTTTAGTTGTGTATTTGATTAACTGTATTTCATCCTATCTTAGGTTTGTTTTAACGTATTTATTTACATTTTTTTTAGCTTTTGTTCTTTTTCTTTTTTGGAGGAAATTGGAGGATTTTTAGGCTTAAAACAAACTTGTAAGCTCTTTTTTTCCCTGTCATCACTTTTCATCTTTATTCCAACAGAAGAAAACGTGAGAAATACAGAATAAAAAACCTCGTTTAGAGTTTTGGACATTAAATCTTAATTGAGACTTTAATTCTGTCCATTTTTCTGGGATGAGACTGATCTGTTTGAGGTTTCCCTCTTTGAGCTGAGTTATCATGACTTCTGCTGAGTCACCGTTTACAGAGAATAAAAAAGTATAAAAGGCGAAAGGAATTTAGTTTAAATGATAAAAACAAACCAACGATAATGAGAAATTCATCAATCAACACAAAAAACTTTTTAAACACATTTTTCTGCACATTTGTTCAATCTTTCCTTATAATCTTTTTTTAATCCTATTTTTGCTTGTTTAACTGTATTTTTACTGTATTTTCTTTTAGTTGTGTATTTGAGGAAATGTATTTCATTCTATTTTAGGTTTGTTTTAACGCATTTATTTACTTTTTTTTAGCTTTTGTTCTTTTTCCCTTTAGTTTTCGGAGGAAATTGGAGGATTTTTAAAGGCTTAAAATGAACTCGTACGCTCTCTTTTTCCCGCTGTCATCACTTTTCATCTTTATTCCAACAGAAGAAAACGTTAGAAATACAGAATAAAAAAAAGTAATTTTGCGTTTTGGACATTAATTCTTAATTAAGACGTTAATTCTGTCCATTTTTTTTTCATTTCCCTCTTTGAGCTGAGTTATCATGACTTCTGCTGAGTCACCGTTTGCACAGATCCTGACAGGGAGACTCAGTTTTTATTCTAGCTCCACTTGTTATCTACACCAGTGTTTTTCAACCTTTTTTTAGCCATTTTTTCATTGATAAAATCACGAGGCACACCACCAACCAAAAATGTCAAACAAATCTGTATCCGCCTATAGTAACACAATAGTTATTCTTATTTTATTCTTATCTTATCTGAAGTGTCTTGAATAGGAATCAAATAAACACAAAAATGTATTTTTATCATATTTTATATTTCTTCTTTCAAATTGCTCTTAACATGTCCACTTCAATATATAAAATTATATACAAAATCTAGTCATAAGGAATTATTACATGATTACTCCACCAGTCACTAGAACAGCACACACACTCAGAAATGGCATATTATTTACAGATAATTAATTCCTTATCAAAAAATCTTTTTAGACCAATGAAGTGAAATAGGATGATTTTCTACACCTGACCATCACTAACGGCACACTAGTGTACCGAGGACCAGGGGTTGAGAAACACTGGTTTAGGTCATTTAAACATTCATGACCCTCAGATCTCAGCAGGTTTTAGCAAATTCAAACATCTGATTCAGTTTGTGATCCGTCCCAGAAAGCCATGAATATGCTTAAGCTTAATTAAATTAAATCAAATTGATTTCAGTTGTATTTCTGTAGCTCCAAATCCCAACAGCTTTAGCATCGTACGCTTCCTTTTAGAGCTAAACTACTCTGGTTTGTTCTCAGGTTTCCTAACTAAATAATGGGCTAACAGGACCTGGAGTCAGACGTGTAATAAAGGCTGTAATATTGAAATATTTAAAGTACTTGTCTTTATGTTAGGATCAGATTAAATGTTTTTTTACATCTCTTACTGCGTCCACTTTTAAAACAGTCTGATACTTTACGGTAAATCAGACGTTAGCATCACAATAATAATAATGATAACTCTGGAAATAAAAATACAACTTTTAGCCCGATTCTTTAGTTGGAAACCCTGATCACTCACTGCACACTAGTGTACCGAGGACCAGGGGTTTAAAAACACTGATCTAGAGAGAGTGCGTAAAGGCAGATGGACTCCACAAAGACTTAAAACGGTCCAAATTCAAACAGCAGAATCCTTATTTTCCATCTCGTAGCCTTAAACTGAACCGGTTTCTGGCTCCTGATCCCGTCTCTCCTCCGTTTAGAAACACTAACCGGCCTCTAATCCGGCCTTTGCATCGTCGTTTATCATTCTGATTATTTTTAGCCGCGCTGGGCTTTCTGTGTCCGGCAGAAACGGCTGACTAACGGGAGTTTGGCTCCTTTTGTCTTTGTTCTGTAATCAGCTCTTTAAAAGGATTCATCACCAGTTCAGATGATACCCAGAACCACAGATTAAACCCACAAATTTCCTGCTTTTTTAAGAAAAAACACCTAATAACATTTTTTTAAAGGCATACGTGAGATTTAATGGAAGCTGTCAGTTAGCATCAAAGCTAACAAGATGCTACACGGTGGAAAATCAGCATTCAGCATCCTCAGATGTTCCTGAACAGCTTTTATTAGACCTCAATGGGACTAAAATAACTTTGGTAATAAAACACAATCTGTAACAACCAGGAACTAAATTATAGCCCTCTTTTAAATACAGAAATAGATAAAATAATGTTCTAAATGTGACCTCT